TGGGCGTGCACACACTAAAATATCCCTGCCTACTGACTGCAAAATTTGGCCTTCCTATGCTTTTCATCATGGAGTATTTTTGCTTTTCTTTAAGTTTTATTCATTTCTGTGTATATGTATGTGTGTGAATGTGTGTTTGTGAGTTCTGTATTGTGCAGACACGTGTGCATTCCTGAGCATTTGCCTATGGAAACCAAAGGAGGACATCAGGCATCCTGGTCTATTGCCTTACTCCTCAGAGATCCTCCTGCCTTTGCTGGCATGACAAGCTGATGCAGCCTGCCTGGTTTTTGTTTTGTTTTGCTTTAAAAGCAGGTGCTAGAGATTTGAACTCAGGACCTCATGCTCATAGAGCAAAAACTCTTCCCTGCTGAGCCATCTCCTCAACCCAATGTTGCAGCTTGTCCTTTTGTTTGTTTATTTTAATTTAAAAATGCGCAGGTTATCCATAGACTACAGTCTGCCAAAGCAGGTAGCAAGCCAAATGAAGCTTGTGGGGGAGAGGCTGCCAACCCCTTCTGCGTGTCATTTCATTAATCACTTCCTACTGGTCCAAGCAGGACCCCTCCATGTTTTATACTTCAGGGGACTAACAAGTGACAATAAATAATTCCCTAACTTTAAGTTAGAAGAGCAGCCATGCAATGGTGGACAAGCCAGTCATTTTCCTAATTTAATGTACACAGCATTGATTTAGAGCAGACCCTGGAACAAGCACCTCTGATGTTGCAGAGTTCATGTTTTATTCCAAATCCGTTGGAGCTGGTGTTAAGCCACTAACCAGAGAGTATTAAGCAAAAGTAAATGGTGTCTCATAAATGACTAAACAGCTCCTCACTTCCACTCTTGGAAATAAGTGCTGGCAAGGGACACATTGCATAGGCAATAACAAGGCTGCCTTCGGAGCTTCTTGGTCAATCTCCAAGAATGCATTTTCTCTAGCAATATGCTCGAAGATGTTTCATTACGCAGCTGTCTTAAGCAAGGAGGGCCTAGGTAGATACTAAACAGCTTTTAAATGTGACCATCCACAAGTGCACCCCGAGTCTTTTCCCCCCGTTTCTTCTGCCTTTTCTTTCTTGAAACCCAGATGAAGTCCAGCTGATGTACTGAGGAGTGGACCCAGAGCTACCCTCAAAGACTAGATACCATACAGGGAGGCCTTGGAGGCCACCTGCCAAGCTCCGGTCAAGTGCAGCTTTGCTATTGACCTCCCTGACGCCACGTGTAGTAGCACAAGCATTGTAAGTTAGCAAACCCATAGAATTACATTTTATGACAATAAATATGGGTTGTTTTACAGCATAGTTCTGATAAGTGCTTTTCCTTCCTTTCCCCTTCCTTCTTGCTTCCTATATATTGGTTTTTCTATTGCTGTATAACAAATTACTAAAATCAGAGCGCTTGCTGGCACTGTTTTCTAAGGCTGTAGGTGAGGTAGAGAATGGACTGACTTTTCATCCCAAGGCCTGGCCTGCTAAGAATTCACTGTCGCGGTTACTCACACTAATGAAGGAGTTTCCTTTTCCTGTGTCTGAAAAACTGAGAGCCCAGCTTTCTTTTGGGGGTTAGCTGGAGGCCCCTTGGGTCTAAAAGTTATCAATTGTTCCATCTGCTTAGGATTCTCAAGTAGCCGTCTACTTCATCACACCAGCAACGAGGATCTCTGGTCTCTGACCGTCTTCGAGGGTTTTCGATTAAACAAGCCCCATCCAGGATAAAGTCTCATTTGATTAGCTCACATTGATTGGAAGGGGATAAAAACACCCCTCATCACTAGGAAATTCTGTTGGTTAGAAACAGGTCACCGACACTACCCACACTGAAGGTGAAGTGATCACACAGCACATAAGCCCTAAAGGGGTGGGAGCCAGAAAGTTCTCTAAAGTTCTCTTTGTCAGACCTTTTGCCAGGCTGCAATACGATGCAAGCTGACAGGATTGTTCAAAATAGAGAGCCTGTCTTTATATACTCACCAAAAAATAATGGTTAAAGACACCAACAGAAGCAACTTTAAGACTGGACTTCGACGTCCTAGGGAGTATGGAGTTTAGAGCTCAGCCTTGTATGTGTTGGTCAGTGATGGACGGTTTTCCAGGGTCTAGGGCAAGAAACACTCTGTATATTGGACTGGACCAAGGAGAACAGGAGTGGTGAAAACCCCACTCCATCAACTTTTCTTCTGTGTGGGGCTCCCATCAAGAGCATCGACTTCGGGCAGAGAAATACTAGGAATATTTACTCTCAGACCCCATCCCCATAGTGAGTTCAGAAGCCCCATGCAGGCCCTGTGTGGGAACCAGCCCTCACTTGCAGGGCAGAGGCTTGCTTACTCCTGAGAACCACTGTTTTATGAGAATCGTGTTCCATTCTGTGAACTGTTTTTTCTCTCTCTGGATGGTGCTTCCTGTTTTTACAGTCTTGAAGATTGCCAATTACTGCGTGTCAGACACAACCCTTCACTAAATCGCTAGTGTTCAGAATAATGGAGAAAGATGACTGCTTAGACCTTCCATGCCATCTCACTTTACTGAGGTGCTAAATCGTACCGGGGAGCTAGGCAAATTTATCACCTCTACCCTCACAAGAAAGTTCATAAAAACAGAGAACGCATGAAGATGTGAATGTCGTGGAATTCTCCACAACGGGCTTGAAGGGCAGGGAGGGGTGCACTAGTAATTTCCAGTAAGAAAAGACCCTCTGACTACAGAAGTCCTTTCTGCTTCTGCTTGACATTCATTTACAGGACCCTTGCTCCAGAGCATCGGGAACATGCCACCCCAACAGTCAGCACTGCTCATGGGGGAAAGGAAGGCATGCTAAAATCTGTACTTCATCCAAAGACTGGCTTTGCCATTGTCTCTCCCTATGAGCAAGGTCAGAATGTCTCAGTACCAATAACTCCAGGTAGCTGCTTTCACTCCACAATCTCCAAATGGAAGAAATTTATAGAGCACAGCACATGCCACACACAATGGATAGGATCCATAAATGCTTCTCAAGGGCCCATCACATTCTTCTTTTCCTTCAGTATTCTGTGTGATGTCAGGCCACTTGTGAACTTTGTTTTTCTTGTAAAATATCCAGGGCCCTAGTCTCCCTTTCTAGTGCTGGATTGCCAGCTCCCAAACCAAGACATGGGAACTTATTATTAATTATGAAAGCTCTACCTTAGCTTAGGATTGTTCCCAACTAGCTCTTATAACTTAAATCAACCAGTTTATATCCATCTTCATCTGCCATGTGACTTGTTACCTCTCTTCAGCATAGTACATCCCACTTTCTTGGACTCTGCCTGTTGAATTCCACCTCTCTTCTTTCCAGAGTTCCTATCTATTTTGGAAGCCCCAACTATCCTCTTCTGCCTAGCTATTGGCCATTCATCTCTTTATTAAAACAATCAGAATTGTCCTAGGCCGGCAAGATAAAACAGCAACACACCATCCCAGTGTATAGAAAGATTATCCCATAACAGGTCTCTCACTTGGCACTCTACGTCACTAAGCCCTGTGTCCTTACAAAGCCATTTAATTCAGACTCATACTGCACTGTGTACTACAGAAGCACAGAATGTCCTCACCCTTCTTCTCCACATCCTATACACTCACTAGGAATGAGCATGGCCTCTGCCTGGAATCCATCACCCAAATTAAATCTTAGATTCTAGCACCTAAAATCTTGTGTTAAGGCCGAGAGGGAACCTTCCCTCTCATTTGAGGGTTAAGTTCTAAGCACAGTATCTCTAGACACTGGTCACACTCAGACTCGTGGTGCAGAGTCCTAGATATTCTCAGCAAACCAAGCACACTCAGTATCTCTCTACCTTCAGAGGTGGTGATTATTCCCAAGGTTAGGCACCAGGCAATCCCTTTGGGAACTATACTGTACAGAACACATGCGGCTGTAATCACCAGACTTATTGGTAAGGTAAGATCCTATGTGTATAAAAGACTTATACAGGTCATGAATGACAAAAGTAACATGGAATGACTTTCCCTGTCATAGTCCTGTAATGTACATGTTCCCTGGATAGAGCAGTTGGCAATGGCTACGTTCTGTTTCTTTTTGAGAATGTGTTCAGTTCGTTCATGTCTCATAAACCAAACAGACAAGCCAGAGACCGGAAGATTGACATGGTCTGGACGGTCTCATGCTTCTATACAGTCAAGATCATACAGGGAACAAGAAGATACCCAGTGACACCTGCTCTACCCGACTTTGTCCTCAGCTAAAATCCTATCTTGTAAAGTGACACAGTGATCCCCACCACCAATTCGTTGACACGGGCCCGTTAGTGGACCTTGTTTAATAATGTAGGCTATGAAGACACATTTCCAGAGATCTGAGTGCATGATAGGGTCTAAATAGCCATAATTTTAGTTTTTTCTTCTGAGAACTCAGACTAGTTACCAGCTTTCAGGAACCTCAGGATAAGGTTCCTCACAAATATTAAAGGCAGTCATTGATGCTCTAGAATATGGGTTCAAAGGTTAAAAAGCATTGTATTGATTTCTCTTGGGACTAAGAAATACTTAGAACAGAGGACAGACAAGCTGATGAGCACACAGTATCCAAGAATAGAGAGAAGATTCTAGCTAGAGCTGGCCCAAGGAAGTCCACAGAAGCAGGCATAATCGAAGAGATGGCTTCAGTGTCTCTGAATCTTAACATTTTACAAAACCGGGGCCTACCAGGTAGCTCTGGCTTCAAGGAAAACAAATTAAAAAGAAGAGCCGCATAACAAGAGGAGGTATGCCACAAGGAATTTTTTCACACAACACAGTAAACACATCTTCACAAGTGCCTTCCTTCTCTTGAAAACACTTTCATTTCACGACTACCAAAGTCATGGTATTTGATTCTGGCTAACCCACAAACATAGACTGGGAAGCCATAGATCACTAAAGTCTGCACAGGACACTTATCCGAGGACGATCTGGAGGTTGCAATGAAGACTGATCATGGCCATCATTACATAGACGGCGTAAGCACCAACTCACCTTTCGGTCTGGCCAGTTGTATTTTGCAAAGATGGTATCGTAGGTGTCCACGGCCCCATCAGTTATGAGCATGATGGCCTGGCTGCAGATGCTTCCTTGTCCTGTGTGGTTGAACTGTGGAAAGAAATGTTAAAATAAGACACATGTCAGAGAGTCTGCATATGCACAAGACCTCCACGGCATGTGGTCCTCGAAATCCAAGAGCTCATTGCGTGCTACCAATACAACCCACAGGAGAAGCTCCTGCATGGGTTCAAACTAACAGCAACTAACTGCAGAAGTTGGAACTACTGTAGACCAAGGCCATTTGTGTGTGTGTGTGTGTGTGTGTGTGTGTCCAGAGGGGGTTCTAAAACACATGCCTGCAAGCTACCTAAGTTTTCCGGCCTGCAAGTTCTACCTTCATCGGTGAACACAAGGCACTGGAGAGCTGGCAACGGTGCTCAGAGTACACTGTAAGGGCAGTGGGCTCTGAGAGAGGCAACATAGCTGTCAAAATCCTAATGAGGCTGATCTGAGGGAGTCAAGTAGGTACAGAACTTTATATGTTAAAAATCAAACAAGTTTCAGACAAGACGGAAGCTAGGAAAATGATAAGTCACACTCCAAGGTTAAGTACTCATTTTGAACACTGAACTTAAAATGCATGTCTTAGTGTAAAGGATTTGTAATCGCTTGCTAGCATACGTGGCGTGCTGAAAACCCCAGATTGCACTTGCGAGTGTGCAGATCCCAACTGCAGCTTCTACTCTTAGCTAGGGATGGGGCATATGCTTGAAATTCCAGCACTAGGGAAATTGAAGGGCAGCAGGATTACTGCAAGTTCAAGGTCATCCTGGTCTATGTTTCCAGGCAAGCCTGGGTTAAGTCTCCATTCCCAAAACAAAATAAAGCAAAACAAAAATCAAATAAAGGGGGCTGAGGGTTGGGTGCCTGAGACATGGCTTGGTGGTAGAGCACTTCTTGTTGTAAATGTGCCAGGCCACACCACACACACACACACACACACACACACACACACAGGTGCGCGCACACACACACACACACATTCTATGCATTTCTGGGTAGTAGCAGCACTGGGAGAGATTGAAGGATACTCTTAGCCTTGCTGGTTGGACCGTGGTGGCCAAGGGAACAAATAAGACATTCAAATTGGAGATATTAATGTCTAGTCTTTATGTAATTAAAAGTCTGATATGTTTACCACAGATAATTGAATAGGTGGACGGAAGGACGGACGAACGGACGGACGGATGGATGGAATTACTCTGAGGCCTTTTTAGGACAGAGCAAGCCAACCACCACAAATGGAAAGTCATGATACACTGTAAAGTCCTCAATTCTAATCTAGTTCCAGATGCATGCCTGAGATGTTCCTTTTCCAGGGCATCCATTTCTTCATTTGTAACATGGGAATAACATCCTGATATGGTTGTTATAACAGAGGTTAAATGTTTATTGTGTGCTAGGATAAGAGCTTAAACTTACTGCATCTTTATTGGTCTTGGAGGTTGAAACTACGCTTATCTTCCTTTCTTCCTTTCACAGGCAGGAAGGTTGAGGCTCAGAGACATCAGCCGAAGGAGAAATGGCTACTGTCCAACAGCTGATACCTGAACACAGGCAGGTCAGCCCCCGCTACCATCTGTACTGGCACAATCTGTTATGTGGGAAGGCCTTCTGTAAATGTGTTGTTTTTATTGGGTAATGAATGAAGAAGCGGCTTGGGCCTATACCTGGAAAGAATAGAGTTAGGTGGGAAAGCTAAACTGAATGCTGGAGAAAGAAGGTAGAGTCAGAGAGAGACTATGTAGCTGCCAAAGGAAAAAGACACCAGCCGCCAGCCAGGACCTTACCGGTAGGCCACAATCTCATGGTAATTCACAGATTATGAGAAATGGGTTGATTTAAGCTGTGAGAGCTAGCTGGGAATATGCTAGAATCACTGGAATAGTGATGTAATTAATACAGTTTCTGTGTCATTATTTGGGTCTCGGCAGTCGAGAAATGAACAAGGAATCTCCATTTCCTTGTTCTATACTCTATACTCTATACTCTATACTCTATACTCTAGGTTTTCGGTAAGGATAGGGAGGTTCCTGAGCAGCTAGTGACTGTCATGATCAGAGAATGTCCTCCAATTATCCTTGTTTTGGAGGTGTGACCTCTTATGTAGCTATGTGGACAAGTAGTACAGATCATGTGAGAGGCATTGCCAAGTGGAAGGTCCCTTTGTCACTGAGATGGCTGCCCTACAAAGAGACCAAGACAGTTCTTGAGAAAGTAAGTAATAAGAGTGAGCATGGCCTTCAGTGTCTCTGACTTCCTGATCCAAGACAAGGACCTCTCATTCTTGCATACACTCCTGCTAGATGCCCTTATCTGCCACCAGGCTCTCGCAACCAATGGGGCTCCTTACAACCTCCCAGTCTGTAAGGAAGTAACTACCTTTTCCTCCCTACTGAGACACCACTAAGATTCTCTCAGGGTATTGACTTTCTTCCTTACTTCAGTAAGAAAACAAAGCCTCCTATCATGGTCTCCTAAACAGGTTGCTGGGGCAATGGGTAAGGAGGCCACATTCTACACAGTCCTCCCAGTCTTTAAAAAGTCCATAGCAAGCCTCCAAATAAAAGCCATTCCTGCTTCAGGTCATAGAGTTTTCAGAGACCAGGGACTGGGACTAACCGTGAAACTCATTCAAAAGCATTCTGGAAGAAACACTCCCAACAAAAAGAAAAAAAGGGAGGTAATGGAAGGTTTCTGAGTACTGTGGCTAGGAAGGCAGGACCCCCCAGGAGCTATTCTTTACAAAGCCAGCCCTTTCCTCTCAGGCAGGGCACCCTTGCATACCATCTGAAGCATTGCAGAGTTGGAGGATTTTGAGGACTGCATTTGAATTCAAATGCTTTGATGAGTAATATCTCTTCTCTTCATATTTGTCTAGAACATTTTTTTCATTGACTAGGGAGCGTGAGGAAAGTGTTTTCCATAATAATAGCAATGACAAGGGCCTGGTGATGAACCACAATTAGCTCCCTGATTCATCAGTTAGCAGCGAAACTTTCAATGCATCCTGACATTTCGAGCATTTGGTTGTGATTAACAGTCTTTGAAATGTCACTGAATTTTATTTAATTGGCTAAGAAAAATTTTTAAAAGGTAATCACTGCAAAGATCACATTCATCTCCAAAAAAGATAATTGCAGTTGTCACATGACAAGGTAGATGCTAACTACTGTAGCAAACTGGTTCTGTGTTCTTTATGGAGTCTAATGAATGGAGCAGAGATCAAAAACTGGAGAGGGCTTAGAAGTTTATTTCAATGCTCTTTTCAAAGCCATGAGTATCAATGATCACAAGCCTTTAAGTTATCTGAGAAAATACCAAAACTGAAATGTTGGTAATTGCACGACAGAATAAATTCCATTTAATTATTGCAACCTCTGAGCCATTCTAAGCTCCCCCCAGTCAGTCTTAATGTGTATGTGTATTAGGTCTCTTTCTCTCTTTCTCTCTCTCTCTCTCTCTCTCTCTCTCTCTCTCTCTCTCTCTCTCTCTCTCTCTTTGTGTGTGTGTGTGTGTGTGTGTGTGTGTGTGTGTGTGTGTAAGCTTTTAATTTTAGATACACTTGCAAAGTCAGACATAACACATAGGAAGAGAATTCTATCACTTAAAGGCCGCATGGATGAGGTGGAAAATAGATAAAGCCTCATTTTCATGGGAGATTAACCATCTCTGTGTTTGTATAAGAATTTAGCTGTTGAAAAGCCCAGTGGAAAGAGATGGGGAGAAATGTTTCTCTAGTAGATGAATGTGCACTCAGACAAATACGGTGCCAGCTGCTAGCCAATGTCCAGCATGGGCATTTGGCAGCCTTCACTGGAGCTGTTTCCCACTCTCCAGGATTGATGAGCAATCCATTTGGGTCTGATTGGTCAGACTCTATAGGGTTTCCATAGGCATATGGATCCGTAGAAGGTTTCACTGTTTAAGATAAGGGGAGCCAATAAGATGCCTCCGTGGGTAAAAGGTACTAAGTCTGATGACCTTAGTTCAATCTCCCGATTCACATGGTGGAAGAGGGAACAGACAAGCTTACACTGGCCTCCACAATTACACACACATACATTCATATACACATACTTGTGATTAAAAAAATTACTAACAAGGATATGAGCAGGGTTAAAGGCACCCATATTGGTATTTCCTCTGGATGTTAGTGGTCTCTGGAAGTGTGTACACAATATTTGGAAGGATATAAAGGGTGTTATGCCCAAACATATGCTTATTGGACCCATACTACAAGATGTTAATATGAAGTTTATGATATGATATAAAGTATTATGTGAGCCCAGACATCTAAGTACCAAAATAAACAACACATTTCTCTACCCTACAGACTTCTCCTAGCCTTTAATATATATAAGTACCGTGGCCCTACTTGCAAAAATATATTTAAATTGTGAAGTGAAGAACATATATGTGTGAGTACACTGCATATATCCAGCATAAGGGTAGCTCCCCAGCTTGCATACCACCCTCTGTTGAAGATTTTGGGGGCTCAGCATTTATCTGGCTGTATCACTGGCTCAGGAATGTTTGAAGCCAAAACTGATGAACGAAGGGGACAAGTAGGGAAAACGATTAAAACAAATGTTCCAGGGAAAGAAAAGGGAGAGGAAATGAATGAGAGGCCATGTGAGGGGCAAGGCTGTCTCTGAGAAGAAGCTAGAGCTGTTTTGAGGCAGGATAGAGAGACTTGGAGTTTGGGGTGTATAGCCCCATATTTCTATATGGCATAGCAGCCAAGCCATCAAGCCATAGGCCACACCTGAGATGGGTCACGTATCCTGCCAGGCAGACTGTCGCTAACCTAACAAAAAGTCAGGGTGTTTTGCTTCTTTCTTTGTAATAGCATACAGAGCAGACAGGTAGTTGTGGACATGACAAAAGGCCATTTACTGGTTACCTAGGAGACAGAATGATAATGTATTTCACCCTCAGTTAAGTTTTGGTATAAAGACTGTTTGGAGAATAAACGGAGGGAATTCTTCAGGATGCGAACTCAGGATATCATGAGGGATCTCTGAGAATCTCCCTCCTGATAAAACCATGTGAGTCATGCCTTTATTCCCGACACCTCCACGCCAGTCCAGAGAGAGATAGTTTATGTTGGGGTCTGGTTTAGAGAAATAACTGAGGGTCTGGGTTAGCACCGGACCCTGATAGGGGTGTGGAAGAAGGGGTCCATGAGACTGAAGTTTAGTCAAAGCTTTCAGCCGCCAAGGATCAGAAATTCCAGCATGGTTGGGAAGACACACTATAAAGGTGCTGGTGGGAGGCACTATGGATTTTATGGGAAAATATTTTCTAATAAGAAAAATAAAACAGCAATGAATCATGCTTCAGGCCCAGGCTTACAGGAAAGTGAAGTATGGCCTTATTCCTATCCTGGATACTTTCTGGAAATTTCACAAATAATATTATAAATGTTTGTTTACAGCATAAACATCCTAACTTCTCTTTTGCTTTTGTTTTATCAACTACAATCATCTCAGGTACATCTCTGGAGTTAAAAAGTGATCTCATTTGGATTCTTAGAAGTATGTGTCTCCCTCTTTCCTAGAGTGCCTCTCTTCCCAGTGTGACTCTCCCATCTGCCATGGGGAAGGCGCTGCAGTAACCCATAGATTATCTTGACCTGGAGTCCTAGCCATGAAAGAAACAGGACAATGCAGGGATGGCCAAGTCTGGTAAAGGTAACGCTCACTGGAGGCGTAGTTCTCGTGAGCTCTCACCCAGGTGGGGATGGGACTCCTTGGTAGGAAACTGCCCTTGGAATTGCATGTGCAGCTGGAAGTAACTCCAATAGGAAACTGTTTACCATGTTGGACCTGGATAGAATCCTTTCTCTGGTCTGTGCATGGCCTATTTAGGGTAAACAGCCATTTCCTTATGTGTCTCCAGGAAAAGTCACAGGTTTGCCTTCATAGATAAGAAGAACAAAGCTGAGAATCCCTTATTCAGTATCTCACACACACAGAGGCTCTCCCTGCTCAGCCAGCCTGACTCCAGAGGACCACAAAGCTAACAGTCCCCTAACTCATGTTCCTCTACCACCAAGAGCAGGGAAGCAAAGATGAGCTGTGGGGAAGACAAGAGGCTGAGCTCAGAGTAGTTCTTGAGATAAAAAGACGGAGCTTCCAAATCAGGTCAAGTCTCTTCAGCATCACCTCTCAGAAAGAGACTGATAACTCAGGACTGCGGAGACTGACAGCTCTGAGGTCCGAAAAGTCACCCGCCTGGGTCCAAACCAATGTGAAGGAGCAGCTAGCTTTCTGCCCAGGTCAGAGGTTTCTAAGCTATTAATATGCTATTAACTGAGGGGTACTCTCTAACCCATGAACTCTGTATATGTGTGTGTGTCTGTGTAAGAGAGAAAAGGGCAAGGAGGGGGGTGGAGAAGGAAGGAGACAGAAGGAGAGGGAGGTTGGGAGGCAGGAGACTGACTCCAGGAGCTCACTGTGTAGTTGAAGATGATCTTGAACTTCTAATCCATCACCCTCCATCTCCCAACTGCTAAGATTATGGTTGTATGCCACCATACACGATTTACATTTTACCGGCATGTGAACCCAGGACTTTGTGTGTGCTAGTCCAACACTTTACTGAATGCATGAACTCCTGCATATATGTTAATCACCTGTAGCTTACAGACTCTGGAAATGAGGTAAGAGAGGCTGGCTTTGGGTTTATACTGAAGACAATGGCTAGACACTTCATTCCGTGTGTTTGTTTCCATGGCAGGAGGAAAAGACACTGGCTCAGGATTGAGACCACAGTGGCTTTCTTTGTGCCAAATGTCATTGATGAAAGAATCTCTAGGTGTTATTCCAACCTTTGACCCAAGAGCCAGTGTACCTTTGGGGATATAAAAACCCCAAATCTAGACTGGGATTTCACTGAGTGGCAAAGTAAAATCAAGCAAAGCCCAGGCCTATGATCCAGGCTAATTATCTACCACCCACATGCTGTGCAGTACCGAGGGACTCATCACCCTGACCCTTCATTTGCTCATGTGCAGAATGACAATAGCCAACTCTGCAGAGCTGACACCCTGATCCAGACGTAGGTGCCATTCCGGTTTGCTCCTGATGCTCTCAGAGCACCTCAGGACTAAAAATAGCCCTGACCGAGATGTTCTACAAACCCCATCTATTGTCCTGAGTCTGAGCAAGGTAGGTCAAAGAGGTCCTTACATCACTGAGTATGTTGAAGGCTTCGTTCAGAGCAATATCCAGCATTCCAATTCCTTTGGCGAAAAGTTTGTCCAAATGCTCCCTGAAGTGCTGTAAGGACAAAGAATAAAATCCATTAGGACTCTGCATGTCTCCCCCATTCATGGAACCTGCTACCAGCTCATTCCCCAGCTCCGCTGCCACTCTCCGCACTGCTCCCCGAGGCTCAGAATAAATGTCACCCTCTTTGTATCTTAGGAGGCTTTCTCAGGCCATTTGCTTCTCAGACCAGTTCACTGGGATTCCTTTGTGCCCTGGTTTGTCTCTCTGTGACGGTGATAAAGAACGGACCAAAAACAACTCCAGAGAGAAAGGGCTTAATTTCATCCTAAAACTCCCAGGTCAAACTCCATCACTGAGAGAAGGAAGGACAGAGGCTCAGGCAGGAACTGAGGCAAACATCCCAGAAGAAAGGTGCTTGTTTTTATGGCTTGTTCAACTGCTTTCTCATTTTGTACAGCTCAGTACCACCTAGGGGCAGCACCACCCATAGTGGGCAGGGCTCTCCCACATCAATCATTAACTCCCCACAGACGGGCCAATCTAACAACTATTTTCTCAGGCGGGGTTCCCTTCTTCCAAGTACCTCTAATGTGTAGCAAGTTGGGCCTCCTTGGTAGCAGCCCAAACTCTCCTCTGGTTCTTATGATTCTGTAGAAATCTAGCCTTAGCCTCATAAGAAAGTGGCTAAGAAGCCCTGTAAAGAAGTATGGCACACGAGGACACGGCACATGGAGCACACAGTGTGCTCGAGTCTGGAATTTTATTTTGTTTGTCTTAGTGGTCTGTACTGAAGATGGATCCTTGCACACACGAGGCAAGCACTTGCCCATTGTGCTATGCCCCTTAGTTCTTTACAATGAACTTGGTCCTTAACTGGCCCCAGGGTGGAATCATTGTAAGTTGGGTTCTGCATTACAAGCCCATCTGGTACCATAACCTTCCCCCATGCTCAGTGGCTGTCAGGTTTGTACTGCATGGTTACCATTCGGTTAATCCATGTGTGGCTAGGAGTCAACTGCAGCTTCAGGCAAGGGTTCCTTTGATTGTTGGGACATGGAGAACCAAATGGAACAAACGTGTCAGATTGGCTCACTGCTCTTTGTGACAAAGTCAGTTGATTTTGCTTTGTTTTTCCTGTTCCAAATATAATTCATACATCAGGTGAAAAAAAGAATTCCCTGAAGAGAGCGCTTCCAAATAGTGCCATAGCTAGAGGAGTCCTTGGTTTCTCTTTCTTCTCTTCTTCCTCATTCCAAAGTGTACCCTTTTTTCGTACCAATAAGGTAAACCAACCCCCTGGTCTCAGAGCTGCATTTACCTCTCAGCTCTATCTCCATACAGAGCAGTTTTCCAGGATATGATTTCCCAGGTTGTGATGTCCACTAATCACTGTTCTAGTCAGTTTGGTAGCTATGGCTGACCTCCAGATACTGACGTTTAAGCAGAAATAAACTTACCCTCCCTTAAAAACCATGCTCCTCTACAGCTCCTGCCATGTTTAGGTGCTCATCAGCCCCTGTGGCTAGTGATTACTACCTCATTGTCAGGGTGTACGTAAGAATGCTGCCATCACTACACAGGGTGTCACACAAGAGTCAGAGCGACCATTCTGGCTCATCACACCAATGACAAATGGGGAACCTGAGGCCTAATGTGGTGTGATGGATAATCTTGTTTGTCAAACTGAGCGGATGTGGAATCAACTAAGAGACAGGCGGCTGGGCATACTTGTGAGCGACTCTCTTGATCCAGTTATTTGAAATGGGAGGACCCATCCTAAGTGGTGGGTGGCAAATTCTGGGGGCAGCTCAGGTAATAAAAGGAGATCTGAAGGGAAAGATTTGCTTCCTGCCTGCTTGCCTTCTCAGGGCCTTTCCCAGTACACCAAGCTCCCAGGCTTCTAATGTACTGAAGACCAGTGGTTCTCCAAGGTTCCGCTAAGCCTTCAGTGATAGACTGGGACTGTCCAGCTACCTAGACTCACGGGATGGGTATCTCCCTGGTTCTCAGCCTCTGCAGTATGAAAACAGCTATTGTTAAATTGCTCAAACTCTATCCTGTAAGTCAATCTAGTAAATCAAGAGACCTCTAGAAGATACAGATAGAGACTGTCGTAGGGTTTCTATTGCTGTGAGGAGACACCATGACCACAGCAACTCGTATAAAGGAAAACCTTTTACTGGAATGGCTTACAGTTCAAAGGTTTAGTCCATTATCATCATGGCAGCACACAGGCAGACCTGGTGCTGGAGAAGGAACTGAGAGTTCTACATCTTGATCCTCAGGCGACATTAAGGAGACAGCACACTGGGCATGACTTGAGCATGTGAGACCCCAAAGCCCACCTCCACAGTGACACAGTTCCTCCAAAGGCCACACCCACTCCAACAAGGCCACAGCTCCTAATATGCCATTTCCTGAGCCTGGGGAGGGGTATTTTCTTTCAAATCACCGCAGGAACCCAGGGCCCTTTTTCTTTCTTCTGACTCTCTTATACTAACAAAATACACATGATTTGAAGAAGACCTAGTGTCATTTCTGTTGCTGTGATAAAATCTTAACAATAGAAACCCTAACTAAGACAAGGGGAGTAAGACTGTGTCGGGACAGCATGGCTAGACCACATAACACAGACACACACGGTCTTTCCCCATGAGTAAACCAGCGTACTTGCTTCTTTGCTCATCCAGTTTGAGTTGGGTTTGGGCGTCTGAAGTGAGAGGATCTCCGTGTACCACAGCTGTCACAAAGATCCTGAAGCCAGGATGATGCCTTGGCCAAGAGTCCCCATGATAAAATGTACCTCTCATGCTTCCACTTCCTTGGGTTGAGTGTGTGCATGCACACACATGAGCATCAGTGTGCGTGTGTGCACATCCACATGGAGTCAGAGGACAATTTCAGCTCTTACGCCTCAGGTGCTGTTCACCTTGGCTTCTGAGTTACCATAGAACTAGTCTGGAACCTGCTAAGAAGGCAAGGCTAGCTGACCTGTGCAGGGTTATACTGAGTCCTCAGCACTAGGACTCCAAGTATGTACCTACGCACCAGCCTTTTTGACAAGGATTTTTGGGTAACTGAACTTAAGTTCTCATGCTTACAAGAAAGCACATTATGGAGTTATCTCCCAGCCCAAGTCCCCACTCCCCACCCCTGTTTTCTTCTCCTCCTCCTTTTTTGTCTTCTTCTTCTTCTTCTTCTTCTTCTTCTTCTTCTTCTTCTTCTTCTTCTTCTTCTTCTTCTTCTTCTTCTTCTCCTTCTCCTTCTTCCTCTTCCTCTTCCTCTTCCTCTTCCTCTTCCTCTTCCTCTTCCTCTTCCTCTTCTTCTTCTTCTTCTTCTTCTTCTTCTTCTTCTTCTTCTTCTTCTTCTTCTTCTTCATTCTTCAAGATAAAGTTTTTCTGCATAACAGCCCTGGCTGTCCTGGTACTCAGGTTGTAGACCAGGCTGGCTTCAAACTCACAGAGTTAATGCCAGCACTTCCCAGGCCCACCCTTCTTTTTAATCACTGTCCCTGAACCTTGCTACTTACCAGGTGTCTGTGCCAGACAGAACACATCAAGGCACTTTATGCCCAGTGGATCTTTAGTGTGTCTTAACACTGTTTTGGTATCATGGTTATATTAAATGCCATCTTAGCCACCTTATGTACTAACATAAATGAGGTTTAGCCCCTGAATATCGACAAACAGAAAAACGATGAACTAAATGCTCTTGTTCTTGCTGTACCAGGGACCATGAAGCCCCAATCTTGCCATCTGTGGAATGGTCACAGTAACTGCCTGGATGGTGGACAGAGCAGAGTCCATCAGGGTTCGGGACTACAGGAAGACATTTCTGTCCCCTCCTGTCCCCATTTGCTTCTCCTTTAAGACACTTTTCTTCTCTGAGCCTTCTTTTTCCTCTTTGCACTCAGAGGCATGAGCTGTTGAAAGACGCACCTGAAGAGAATTGTGGGCCAAGAAAACAACGTGAAACCCTCTTCGTTTCGGAGTCCCTGCCTGTTTCATAGCTTGTGTCAGGAAATGACAGTCACATCACAGAGCAACAAGTCTGTGGTCACTAAGAGAGGGTGCTCATCCATGAGCCCCAGAATGACAATTCTAGGAACCCATTCAGTGCCCGTGCTGAGATGTTCAAAGGAAGAAGTGGCGAGGGTGCTCGGGTCTGGGAGAGGGGAATTCTGCCAAGGCCCAAGGACCACTTTCCTCCTAAGGACACTGCCTGCCCATTCCCATGTTCTCCAGCTGTTCTCACTACCACATGCTGTTCTGTGGGAGTGGATTGTGAACTTCTTTAAAAGCTTTCAAATTTTGCACAAATGGCGGAAAAATGGGTGGAGTGGGGAGGATTATTATCAATATTTAAATTTAAAAAAAAAATCAGAAGGCTGGTGGCTATGGAGGTGGCTTAGTTGTTAAACTATCTAAATCATAAGCAAGAGGACTTGAGTTCAGCTGGAATACAGGTAAGTGGAAACTGATAAATTGGACGGGCAGAGGCTGCGCGCCCCTTGCTGTCTCTGCCTGGTACTCCGCTGGAACCTTGGTTTCGTGAGTCTGGTTTTGTTATTAAACTTGTTCAAATATCTATTATCATTGGTGCTCATTAATCCAACCGCCGCATTTGGCGCATCAACGTGGGGGCACATTTACATCCGCTGCTCCTCGTTAGCCCGCAGTGCCTACAGCAAGTCCTGGGCAGACGGGATCGCCACAGCACCGGCCCGCCCGCCCGCTCTAGGCCCGCAGCCGCTACCACAGCCACCAAGCCCGTGGCCGCCATTTCCCAGCCAACAACTCTCCTGCTCTAGGCCCGCAGTCTTGCCCGCTTGTCGCGGTCGCCAAGACAACAGCGCACCTCCCCCACACCGGTCCTAGGCTGCCTCGGTCCGGAGCTACTCGCAGCCAGCGCTTTGTTCCTCTCGCAGCACCAGAGGAGTTAACCCCTCCCTCTCTGCCTTGACGTTTGGAGCTGAACAGGGAAGCTTAAATATTTGCGGTTTTACAACACAAACCGCCACATTTGGCCCCGAAGGGGTCACTTTGAAT